GGCTGAAAAGAGTTATTTACCTCGGTGGTGGTTGGCCAGAGATTGGAGAAGAAGCTTGTAGTGGAGAGGAAGAAAAAAGACAGAAAAAAACAGAGAAAAATTGTGGAGAAATCGCAAAATGGGGGGGGACGGGCAAAACGAAGGGAAGAAGGCTGCATGCAGCCTTATCCAGACCAATCCCGGTCCGAAAAAAACTGTCAGTGGGACCCAGCGTCCAATCAATTCAGAGATTCCCTGACTCAAATTTTCAGACTGAGATCGGTTCGGATATGTATATACGGACCGATCCCAATCCGTATAATAAATTAATATATATGGACCGATTTCGGTCCGTATATTTTCATTAAAAATAATAATTCATTCCTAATTTTTGTTATTTAATCTTTATTTTTCACGAAAAATAATAAATATACGGACTGAAATCGGTCCGAATATAAAAATGAAATTTCGTATTCTTTAATGGATATATATAGACCGAAGTCGGTCCGTATATATTTATTTAAATAATATTTTATTTATATTTTTTGGTATTTAATATTTATTTTTTTCAGAAATAATATTCAGACCGAAAACGGTCCGAATATTATTAACGCGTCTATACTGTGGATTCTCACCAGAAATATACGGACCGATACCGGTCTGAATATGTTCATTAGTATATTTTGTTCCACCTGAATATATTCAGACCGATATTGGTTCGAATATTTATTTTTTTGGACTGACACTATTCAATCCGTATATGTTCGGTCCGTATACGTCATTTTTCTAGTAGTGAAATATGTAGAAAGGAAAATAGTTTAAAAAAATTTTTTAAACTATTTTTTTATATAATATGCGTAAAATCAAAGACCGCGTCAATACTGCTAATATTCTATATATAAAAAAAATTTTGTCGTGTTTAATTTTAATAGATTCATATTTTTTTTTATCAAATTTCGGCATTAAAAAAAGCTTACATTTTTTTTTTGAACATGTTAAAAAAAAAAAAAGCTTACATTTTACTCGGGCTGAGTCAAGTGAATTAAATTAGAAAATTATTGTTTTTTATTTTTTTGCATGAATTAGAAAATTATTGCTTTGTCAGGTACCATTGGGACAGATTCATTGACTCAGGCGGCGTCAAGTAAATGGACCCTACCGACACTGAAGTTTTTTAAATTGCTCTACTGACGATATGCAGCTTCGAAGAAAAAACCATAGAAGGAAATCATTGAAAGAAAGACTACAGTTGTCACCACACTTTTGTTACGGTCATACTAGGGGTGGGCAAAAACCGGTTTCGGTTAAAACCGAAACCGATTTTGAATTAACCGAAAAAATTTGGTTTTAATTTTACAAACCGAAACCGAACCAAAATTGTTATAAGTTAATCGGTTCGGTTACCAAATTTTATCAATGAATTCGGTTCGGTTTCAGTTTTTATTAAATAAAT